TCCACATATCCCTGGGGGCACTAGGCGCCCCTTTTTGAGATACTGAATGATTGTAATTATTGAACACGTTCTGGTTTACTTCCTGTGAAATACCCTTGAGTCCGCAATGGCATCAGCTGGACAAGTGTTCTCAGGGGTGGGATTAGGGATCCGGGGGGACCATTTCAAGACGCCTACTGTCTTGCTATGAGGGTTTAGGGTTTGGGGTTTAGGGTTTGGGATCTGATTCAGAGGGTCTACTTGGGCCAGATTTGTCAGTTCTCATGCCGTACAGAGTACGGCCAACTCACCGTACTTCCTTGCCTTGAGATGTCCTCCACAATCCCTCTTCCACACGCCTGAAGCTGAAAGCACTCAGGGTGTGGGCATGTCAGCTCATCTGAGCTATGTTCTGAACTCCTTAAAGGGGGGGTTATTTAAGGGAATATACAGGGGAGTATTATAGGGCCTATCAACGGGGTTACTAGGAGTCTAGACTATAGCTCATCTTAATCATCTTGTAGTCCGCCTTAAGTAGATAGATTATGGGGAAGATGGGATCTTACTATAATATTGGTCAACTCCATATTCTATCTGCCTAAGGGGGACTATGACCCTTGGTGGTGGAAGTTTCTCAAACTGATCGCTTCTTACTGATCGCTTCATGAGTTTTCCGGGGAAGCAAGATGAAATGCCATGCATCCTTACTTGGAGGGTCAGGGGGACTTAGTAAGTAGGTCTATAATGGGGATATCTAGGATTACCATTTAGGTTATAGGGCCTAGTAACCTACTTACTAAGTCCCCCCTAACATCTCCAGGTTCTTAGATCGTTACTTCCGGTGGTCTTCAATGGCGTGACGGGCATCTACGGCTTGATCAGTGCCCTCGTAGAAGCTTGGATGGCGATGTGAGCATGTGTAGCTTCTAATCGCCAAGTTTGGTTCAGGGTTCAGCGGTGTAGGGCAAAAGCAGAATCAAATGGAACCTGACATCGAAACTAGGATTGCTTGGCGCTTAATGAGGTAATTTGCCTGGGGATACTAGGGCCCCCGAATACAGAGTGAGATAGTATCCTCCTTTCGGGTATAGTATTTATATGTATCATATTTGTAAGGAGAACCTTCTTTTTTTAAGCTGAATTAGCAGAAGCTAATCGCATGGCTTTAGTCCCAAGCCCTATGAGCGATGAGATTTTCCAGAAAGAAGGGTTGAAGAGCATGTAATAAGAGGGTTCTGCTGCCAGCCAAACTTCAAAGTGGAGAGTCTAATGGACAAGAAAATGTAGAATCAAAGCTGTCGTTAGACCGAGGTTCGCAGGGTAGCAACCGGGCTTTTCGGAATCCCAACCTCTTAAATTGGAACCTCGAGAGACATTTGATAGTTCAAGGATCCTAGAGTTGGTGGTTGGGGTTGCAAGAGTCCCCTAATTTAGCATACAGCAACCGTGATATGACCCCTACTGAAAAGCCACGTACAACCCCTGTTAATCCTGGCCATATCCCCTTTAGTGTTCCAAGATCCTCTGAACCCTCCCTAGCACCTAAACTCCTACACCCTAAATCCCTAAATCCCTAAACCCTGAACCCCTAAGCCCTAAACCCTTGACATCTCGCTGTATGCCTCCAAGGATACACAGCCTTGGCCGCCAAGTGGAGATGATTGGGCAGCTGGCCTTCTGCAGCTTGTTTCAACACACAGCAAGATTCCGGAACTTTAGGCCCTAAACCTTAAACCCTGGAGCCTAAACTCCGGAGCCTAAAACCCTAGACCTTAGACTCGGGTTTCAATGCCAAGGGTTAAGGGTGGAAGGATCCTAGACCCCCCCGTTATACCCGCTGTTTCACACTAAATTCCCATGTCCATGACATTTTGTAGGAAATATTAGCATTGACAGTAGTTATATATATGTATACAAGTATGCATATATATATATACATATATGTGAGCTATACTCTAACCTCCATGTATCCCCTCATCACTATATAACCCGGGTAGAAACCCCTTTAAGGCGTTTACATTGTAGCTCATATGGCGTCAGTACTTCGACAACCCCAAAGCCCATCGACCCTCAACCCGACCAACCCCTAAACCCTAAACCCTAGAACTTCAAGGTATCTCCTTTCAAGTGCTGGCCTAACTTACTTTGGCTACAGCTGCGTGAAAGCTCTGCCGGCAAATCCGGGCTCTTTCGTCCAGATGCGCCTCTTCTCTTTTAGTCTGCATAGTTTCCTCTGCAGTTTCCCAAAACAAATGGTGCCTTTGCTGGTGGTCCCTGCAAGATAAGATTATAACATTTTGTGGTCTATATTGGGGTCCCCTAATTATGGAAACTACCTGTTGAAATTCATAGGGCCTTCATGTACCTACAGCAGGGTTTTTTTGTCCAGATTCAGATCTGTTTCATGCACGGCGAAAATTAGGCCCATTGAAACCCACACTAGTTATGGGATGGCGTATCAGATGTCATTTCATATGGGCTGCCATCATCTGATGCCGTCGCGTGTACGTAGGGTGTCCAAACAGCCTGTATCTCGCAGCGGTTCTTCTAGTCCTTGTGCCGCATGGTATTGTTTTGGGGTTTCTAGAGGTCATGTCTTTAGAATGATTGATACGTCTTTGTTGATCGTATCCTGCTACCTTATATGAGTTTGGACGTTGGTGTGGCCCTCGGGATGGTATTACATAACTGTTTGTATGGGGGACTACTGTAGGGTTTAGTATGGGGGATACTAGGAGTTTAGACGATGGCTCATATCATGGTGTAGGCGTCGACTGCTCAGTGCTTCACGGACAGTGTGGGAGTGGGCTTTGGTTTTAGGGATGCGGAAAAGAATGGCCCGTATTGACAAGAATGTCTTCCCCACTTCCCCTTTCGCACCACTACCCCTTGTCCCCAATATAGCGTAAGAGCATATTCCGTTTTGTAGTTTTGTATTGTACAAGCGTTAATTTGACGTGCGCGAATCATTACAGTTTTGTTGAATTTTGGACTAGCTAGTTCTTCCAAACCAGTGTAGGTTAGTTAAGTAATTGACATATCTAATGTCAAGCTATCGAGACCTCCCAAACCAAGGCTAAAAGTCAAATGATATTAAAAGGTGAAGCAGCTTACATTAGTTGAATTGTTGAAAATTGTTTGGGGGATTTAAGCACTTTACATCCCAGGCTTCTACGTGAGTTTTCGCCCGTATTTTTTTTACGATTTTACGTACTGTTCAGGTCACTTGCTGTATCCTGTGTTTCTGCTTCTTAGCAGGTCCCAGAATCGAGTCTGCAACCTCCTACTGAAATCTCAGTTTTCGCATTCGTCTTGCGATGCTGACAGAGCATGCTATGTGAAGTTGTCGGTGCGGGTGCGTCAGCCGATTTTGGTTTGGTCTCACTTACCATCCTGGACTTCCTTATACTTCGCTATGAGCGATGTGGCAGGCGAGGTAATGGACCGCGAGGGCGCACAAAACATTGTGGTTCGTGCAGAGGGGAGAACAGCTGGCATCTTGCAGGAGATTGATGATCTGAAGATGACCAACGTACGCCTACAGCCTGAATGTAGAGAGGCGGCTCGGCTTCTGAAACGCAAAGAGAAGAAGATGGCCCGTGTGCGTGTTGAAAACTTCAGGAGCTTTTGCAGCTCAAAGTCCGTGTGGTAGCGCCGCGTGCTACCGGAAGGGTAAAGCGAAAGCGGGGTCACCTGCTTCGTAGTCCATGCTCGCAAGAAGGTTGAGCTGATATGGCTGAGCCATACTTCAACTTTATGCGTGTTTCTGTGTTTGGATGCATGCAAGATCAGCAGCATCTTGTGCGCATTGAGCCGATCTGGTTCAGGCGCAGAACAACTGCATGTTGGTGAAACCCATGATGAAGGGTCATAGGACTCCTTAGCACATCCGGGAGGAGTCCCTATGGTTTCCTGAGGTGCCATAAGACCTTCTGTTCTGGGGCCCTAAACCCTAAACCCTAGCCTCAGTTCAGCAAGGGGCACTAGGGAGGAGGCTGACAAAGTTGCAGACTTTGGTGATAGCAGAAGCATGATCTTTTTATGCTTTTATAAGAGCGGACGTGCAGCTCCAAAGGTATTGGCGATAACGCAAGTCCAACAATTTTGCTGATTGCAAGCAGCTTAGCAATCAAGCAGTACGCCGGGCAGCTGAACGGCTTTTTGCAGTTTGGCGAAGCGTTCAAGGCAACCCGCACCAGGGGCACCTACGGGGAAGGAGCCTGCCCTCCGACCTCCATGACTTTCCTCGGGACCAAGCACCCCGAAGTACTCATCCCTATGGAAAGGCTTGGTGGGCCGAGACACTGGCCAGACCGAGGAATGCTTCATGGCGTACTCTGCGTTGCCGGTGCCACCGCATGCGGCGAAGCGTGGCTGCCTCAGTGGCAAACAATCTAGCTGTGGTACGGTGTACAGTTCCGCTCCGATGCCCATGCCCAGGGTGGAACCATTAGTGCTTGCGCCGGTTCATCTGTCACAGCGAGACGCTCAAGATTAAATGCCTTCCGAAAGTATCAACTGACTTTGCAGATCTATTTAATGGCCTAGTAGCCAGACCAGGCCAAGTAGTGCATGTATTGCATGCAAGGATACTGTGTGCTGTATGTATAGCCCCTACATAATCTCATGCAATCACACGTATATTCCCTTCCCCGCTCCCCAACACGGTACTCCCTGCTAAAGTGTGTCCCCCACATAATGTAAGACCATATTCTACTTTGGCTACTGTTTTGCATATGAGGAGTATATTCTTGCTTGGCTTCTTCGCCAAAAAACATTATTTAGATGTGCTGTTGGTGCACACGAAGCCGCGTGGCTCTAAGTTCTGAAGCTTCGAATCCGAAATCTTCATCCCGAAGCCGATCCCACAAATCCGCAAATCCCAATCCCCAAATCCTTAAGCTGGTGCCTAAGCCCGCGCCGGAAATCCTGTACCCTCTACATTACATCACAGACCTTTAGCCCTGAACCCGAATTGCTAATAACCTGAACCCTTGAACCCTAAATCCTAATTCGGAAAGGGTATCGAAGTTGGTGGCAAGCCAATCTCTGGGTCTTTGTGGCCTCATCTACGGCCTGTTCTTGCACCTGGGGCACGTCTGGGGTTTTGGGGGGCTTGTGTGACTTTGCGGTTTAGGGCCGGTAGGAGAGTGTGGGGATTTTGGATTTCAATGGCTGGAAAGCTGGAAGACGTAAATGTAGTCGAAGTATCCTTTTTGGCTAGGGCACTTTACGACAGAAAGAGTATAATCGTACTTGTTTCGATTAAAAACCGTACTCACGTCTAGGGAATGATTCTGCCCATCGGTAACATGGAATCTTCAAAGCGGCCTGTAAAAACTTAAGGGTGAAATTCCATGCCAGGCTGGAATGGGTATCTTGCTTAGTAAGTGCGGAAGGATGTTCAGGAGTTTGCGTTTTCTGTTTTTGTGTTCGTTGTTGGTTGTAAGGTCTGACGCATATTCCGCCTGGCCAGCCAGGTGCTGTGAAGTGCGCGGTTTAACAAGCTCTGGGGTTTTTTGTGTACGAATTATGGCATAGGGTACCTCCAGTAAGCTTCAACATCATACTTGTACTGATTCAAGCGTCTGCAATGGGCTGAAGGCTGGGGTTGGCAAGTGATTTTTTGGAAGGCAACAGTTCAAGGTTCAAACACGAGTTCGTGGGTCCAACAGCAATACGTTCCAGCTTGAGGACGGTGTTCGTAGGGATTGCATTCCTCATGAGATCAAAGGAGATTATGTTTTCCTTTCCGTATTGTGTTTTCTTAGGGTGTACGGGGCTGGGAGCAGTTTAGGGGTCTGAATGTTTAAAGGCTTCAGAGCTTTGAGGACCCTAGGGGCTTTAGGCTGGAAGTCTCAGATGCCGTTTAATTGAATAGCTTCGAGTAAATCAGCCAAAGCAGCACAGACGAAAGACGGCTGTCCCTTGGTCCGAATCTGTATGAAGCAGATTTCGGCAATCCCAACCCACAAAATTGGGACCCCATTATCATATGATGATACATACAAGATCCAAATTTTCGGGGTTGGGGGTACCAATTCTCCTGATAAGTGACACACCGGTTTCTGAAAAGTTCTCGTTGTAATAGTGTTTGCTGACGTTCTCGCGAAACCCTGAACGTTTTTTGCTAAGCCCTGGACCCCCCAAACTCTAAGCCCTGCGTTTTCTGAACCGTTTGTGTAAACCCTAAACTTTGAAAGTTCTCAAAGCCAAGCGGTCTTAGACACAAACTTGCATGCGTTTACGATAATGTAAGCCAAGATTCCTGAGGGTGTAGGGTACGTACCGTCAAGCAAGATGGTCCCATCAACCCTAAACCAGGGTCACGTAGAATTTACTTCGCCCCTAAACTTCAAACCCCTAAACCCCAAACCCCGAAACCCTATACTCTAAGAGCCAAGGGCTGATGATTTGACTTTCAGTAGACTTTAAACCCTGAACCTTGAACCTTAAACACTACACGCTAAACCCAAAACGCGAAACCCAAAACCCCAAACCCTACACCTAGGCATGGCCTGACGTTCGAGCCGCTGTTGCACGAGCAGACTTCTTTTTTGGAGGGTTTGGCATTTAGGGTTTAAGGGTTTTCAGGGTTTGGGGTATTAGGCTTTAGGGTTGAGGGTCGAGGGGTTGGGATTTAGGGTTTTGGGGGTTGAAGGTTGAGGGCTTAGAGTTGAGCCTTGAGGGTTTGAGGGACAGGCTTGAGGCTTTCTGCTTTAGAGTTATGGGTCTTAGGGTTGAAGATTTGGGGTTTAGCTAGAACAAGGGTACCGGTATTTTAGGGGGTAGATCATGACGCCCCCTATCTATGGAAATATCTAGAGACCAAAAAGTAGCGCTACTATACTAGTTACTACCTTAACCCCGAAACCCTAAACCCTCCCTCTCCAAGGAGAAGGTGGCGGGCACATCACCGAGAGCCAGCCTCGCGACAGTTGCCCTCTTCGCGCAGGGTCTGGGCGCACACCAGGCTCAGGGCTTTAGGGTTTCGGGTGTGCTTGGGATCTATTTGAACCCCTAAAATATGTAAAGTCATTGACCTTTGGGCTTTTTTAAAGGCTGTCGGTCATTATTCTCTTTGTTCTAGGGGTTCAGGGAGGGAGAAGCTGCATTTAAAATGTTGCAGTTGTCTGCACCTTTGAATTGTGCGGATGCTTGGAGTTGCGAATATTTAGGCAGTTTTAATCCCAGCTTTTGCATCATGTTTATACCTATATCCTTAAGAACATACTGCCAGAGCTGAACCCTGGAGATTGGCAAGGAAGGCGACCCAGAATAATACGGGCTAGGCAATGTCAAACATATCTAGTATGTCTACATTGGCTCTAACCGTTGAAACGATAGCTGCTGAGCTGCAGTACTGCCCAGCCCTAAGGCCCTAAGGTCGTGTCCTCCTTTCGCAAATTTACATGAAGACTACGTGGAACTTATCGCTGCCCGATCTACCCGGAATCTACCCCTTATACGGCCGGCCGTAACCAAAAGTCACCATAATGTCCAGGTTTGCATGTTGTTCTTTTTGGCGGGGGGGCTTGGCTAAATGGGCTAGTGGCGGACCCCTTGTGGCCTAGACCTTAGGCGATGGCACATGTCTTATTTGCTTTCTAGGGCTTATCCTCCCATGGTTTGGGGTTTTGGGGAACTGAGCTGGTGCCAGATCTGGCTATGGGACATCGCTGCTTTGCTTTCCGCAGCCTATTCTCAGGGACCCGGACCATTGGGTTTTGTGCTCAGGGTTACTAATTCCGAAGCCTTCAGCTAGGCTAGCCAAGCCTCCAAAGCCCCAACCCAAACCAACGACCTAAACCCTACAAACCTTGTCAACCCTAGGGCCTAGTAACCCTATAAACCCTGCAAATCCCAGGAACCCTATAAACCCCTGTAAATCCTAGGAATCCTCTACACCCTGCGGACCCTAGGAACCCTCTACAGTCCGTAAGCTCGAGGAACCCTACAATCCCTATAAATCCCAGAAGTTTCCAGGCGGAAACCTGCATTGCGCTGCTCCTTTTCGCAGCGCCGGTGCTTGCAGCAGTTGTCCTCGCGGGACGGCCGCTCGGAGACAAAATCAGCGAATCCACAAAGAAGGCGTAAATGGAGATTGCTAAATTCGTGTTCTTCAACCAGGGCGGGGAGGTGTAACATATGCGACCATACTACAAGTCCAATTCAAGTATAGTCTGGGTTGCTGTTAAGGAACTTAAATTAAGTTACTATATTGGGGAAACCCTATTATTTACTATGTATACCCATTATGGTAACTCACATTAAGTTCCTTAACAGCAACCCAGTAGTGAGCTGTGCAGGGCCGATTTAGGCTCCCTGCAGCTTTTGGTTTCTAGCGTTCAGGGTCTGGGCATTGGCTTGTCATTGGGGTGTTAGTGAGGAGTTTGAGGTTCAGGGTTTAGTATGGTCTTGGCATGTAGTTTAAAGGTTTATGGCCTTGCCAGGCCTAAGTAGTGATCGGTAGGTGCTTCTCAAACACTTGGGTTACGGTTGGTTGCAGGTATCTTTAAAGTAAGTAGAGGTCACGTTTGTATGGTGGTGTAGTATACACAGCGACGTTGCCTAGGGGTTGGATAGGAGTAGGCCGATTTGAGTGAGAGATGTTCTAAAACACGACCCAGTCACAGAACAAGTATACTTTGAAGATGTAAAGAGTCTACCCTAAACCCTAAACCCTGTGAAAGAGAAACCCTAGACCCTGTGAAAGAGAATTGCGCTTTGCTTTGTTTTCTTTTTGGTACCTCCAGGCGCAGAGGTCTTGGAACACCACTTCTATCCTGACAGCGGCGCGCTGCCCTGTCTGAGCTGACGAGCTTTAGGAAGGCAAAGACTCTCAGAATCAGCAAACCCCATACCCATACTACCCTAAACATTAAATTCGGTTCTACCCTAAACACCCAGAATACCCTAAACCCTAAATTCTAAACTTTACCCAAAACCTAAACCGAACCCTGAGATCCCGAGCAAGGGGCAAGCCTGAGTGCTTCAGGCTGCTCAACGTTTCAGTTTCAAAAGTGGATATGGTAGTTTCCCACAATAAGGGGACCCCAAGATAGACCCCCAAATACTATACTCCTTATTATTGGAATCCCAAAAAAGGTACCCCTAATTTTGGGAAACTACCTTATGTGACATAGTCTAAACTCCTAGTATCCACCTTAATAGCCCCTATAATACTCTTGTATATAATCCCCTATATAACTTGCTTTAAGGAGTTGAGACTATCATGTCCTGGGACCCTTTCGATGCTTGCGGACCAGGACGGGCTATTACAAGCAGTCCTTCCCAAAATAGAATCCAAATTAATCCGCTCCACCTGGGATGTTCTCAAAATTATGGGCCCTTTTGGCTATAGATTCTATTACGGCACCTAAGATTTCGGGGTACCAAAATAGGACCCTAATGTTGGGAACTACCCACCTGGTATTGAATCCCTCGGTCCCCCAAATACTAGAGGGAGGTGAGTAGTAATACTAGTATAGCATCTAGGTAAACCATTGAAGAATACCTGAAGTTCAACCTGAATCGAACTTAATACCTAGAAAAAAACCGAAAACGAACCTAACGCCTAACACCCTGAGCCCTAGACCCTTAACTCCCTAAGCCCTGAACCTGAAACCCTAAAACGCAATCCCATAAGGGCAACAATGGCCCGTCCAGGGAGGCGAACTTGTGCAGACCAAGTTCCCTGCGTCCCGGTATAAAAGAAAATCGTCCTTTAGGTCTTAGGGTGTAGGGTCTTTAGGGTTTAGGGGTCTTAGGATTCGGAAGTGGGGTTCATAGTAGCAGGGATGGAGAATCAAATGGTAAAGAAAGTGGCAACTTGGATGGAAGCTGGCTTTTATATGTATTGGTTTCTAGAGGAGTGATCTGGATACGGACAAGCCCAAATTACAAACAAGAAGCTAGACAGGATCGGTGTCTCTGCTCCTGCCGTAAGTGGAAGCTTGTGCGTTGTGGCATCCGTCAAAACAAGCCCTAAACCACAAGTCCATATATCCTTGTATCTTCTTGAATTATGAACCTCTCGATAAGCCGCGGTTGCTGACATGATGGTTTGGGGGCCATTCCAGCCAATACACAAAACTGGGGGGCACGCAGGGGCGCTATAAGGGTATGGAGCTTTTGGGAGGACTGTAAGAAGATTGCGCAGTCTCCCTCATCACAATATTCATGCCATTTGGACCAGCCTCCAAGCCAAGCTGATTAGACTTTGGATACTGCCCCCACTCAGTAGCAGTTGCATCGTAACTAAAGTATGAGTACATAAAGCCTGGTATATTACCCCTACTTTAGACGATTACAGGATGGAGTACCCCGATCAGACCTATTGTTCGATTTGGGGACTATATAAACCCTTGTATATTACCCCCACTATACGCAGACTGTTATTCGGTGGAGTACCCCAATTAGAGCTACTGTTCCATTATTTGGGGGAGTATATAAAGCCTTGTATACTACCCCTACTATACGTAGACTGTTGCTAGGTGGAGTACCCCAATTAGACCTATTGCTGCTGTTGGGGGGACTCTGCAGCCATGCTAGGATGTAAAGCTCCAGAGCCCGCAGATCGAAGAATACAGTCGAAGGGTTTAGGGTGTAGGGATGAGGGTTTAGGAATTTGGGGTTAAGGGTTTAGGGTTGAGGGTTTAGGGCCAGTTTAGGGTTTAGGGTCAGGGTTTGGGGTGGAGGGTTGAGGTATTTAGAGTTTGGGGTTTACGGTTTGGGACCGAGGGTTCCATGGTTTACCCTTGTAAAAAATTATAGTATAAGATAACCAAACCATCCTTTCCCCAAATCTTACCCCGCCCTCCGCAACGTGGGCTTGAGAAGTTGAAGCAAGTGGGTCTTGGGTTGCGGATTGGCGGATGACTTGATCTTTAAGCTTTAGGGTTTTAGGGTTTAGGGGTTTAGGGTCTGGGGGTTTAGGGCTTTGGGGTTTATAGGGTTTAGGGTTTAGGGCGTGTTGCCCGCGCAGGTGGCGTGGCTTAAGGTTAGTCCTCCAGAAGATTTGGGCTACAGTGGCAAGAACGAACATCCCACAACCCTTGTAAGTCTTGCTGCTGCTCATGCACGTAGTTTGCTGCGCTGCCTGGGTTCTTCCAGTCTGCCGTAGGACGGTTTTGGTCAGGGTTGCTAGGTTTTAAAGGGTTTGCCACAGCTCCCCAAATTAGAAGGAGTATCTTCGCCGAAGAAAGGGCCCCAAATGCAGTGGTTATAGGGGTAACCTATAGAGTAGAGTCTATGCTATAGAGTTTAGGGCACTCTTGGCGAGGGAGCTTCTGCTCGCGTTTGAGCTGACTAGATCTGAAAAAAGGAGTGCCTGCAGCTTGTGCAAGTTTACCTAGGTTGTAGTGTAGAAAGCTGAATCCTTTCAGATGATATGGGTTTCCCAAATTATGGACACCATTTGGAGGTCCCATAAAGAAGGGCTATAGCATTTCGGGGTCCATATTGAGGGCCCCCTATTCTTTGGGAAATTACCATATTCCCGAACAGTCCGTGTTAAGGCCCCTACAGCCCATCCGATGAAACCTCTATGTAAACCCCTTTCACCTTTCATTGTCCCTGTGCTGTTGTGTTCGATTTTTCACCATTCTATAATTCTTAATCCGAAGTGGTTCCCCTACCCCCGAACCTTGAACCCTAAACCCTACACCCTAAACCCCAATCCAAAGGGGGTTCCCGACAGGAGCTGCAACAGCTGGCTGCGTCTTGGAAGACCTCCACAAGCCAGGCCTTAAACCTTTGCTGCTCAGATGATATGGGTACCAGGTTTAGGTTAGGGATTAGGGTTTGGGGTTTAGGGTTTAGGGATTAGGGTTTATTAGAGTTTAGGGCGGGGGGTGAGGTGAATTCGGCTTATTTGGGGGTAGGGCTTCGGCTTGCTTCGGTGTGGGGTGGGGGATTTGGGCTCAGGATTTTGCGATTAAGGGATTGAAGTTTGGCTTGCGGGTTTACCTTCGAGGGCAGTATTGTAAGGACATAGTAGTGCTATCATGTCTCAGTTAAGGGGTAAGGATTGAGGGTTATCCAGGAGAAGCAAGCAGACTCGGTTCATGCATGGACGTTTGCGGAGCCTGCCCCCTGCGCTTCCTGGAGAGGCTTGATCCGTACAGGCTACGATTCGCTTCCCGCGAGTACTGAACACCTCCCAACCTTTCTAAATAAGGAATTTCCTGTGTGAAAGACCTTGTACATTCAGGGCACATGCAGTTTGATTTAGTATTGGGGTGCAGGAGTTGCTTGTTGCCTGGAGTTGTTCCTCAACTAAGCTGTGTAATCGCACTACGGCAACCTCCACCGGCACAGCTATGCTTGCAAAATGGGTCCAGGAACATATGCTGAAAAGAAAACACAAGCGACAAATAACGACCTCTGCATGATGAAAATGCGAGAGCCCACAAGTTGCCAGTCGTACAGAGATCATTGAGGTTTAGGGTTTAGGGTTTAGGGTTTTAGGGTTTTAGGGTTTAGGGTTTAGGGGTATCCCTGCTGCTCCAAATCCTGGAACCCCCAGGCCTCACCTTGAGCGCTAATCCCCCTAAAACCTAAACAACAACACCTGAGCCTTAAATCACCCGACGCTCCAAACCGCAGGACCTCCTGGGGCCCACACCCAAATTCCTGAACCCCAAACCCTTAAACCCCCAGCCCTAAATCCCGAAACTCTCATATCATGCCCTAAACCTTGAAACCTAAACCCTAAAACCTAAGCCCCTAAACCCTGAATCCTAAAATCCCTACACCCCTAAACACTAAACCCCTGAATCCCTAAACCCTAAGCCCTTAAACTCTGAAACCTAAACCCTAAACCCACCTAAGCCCCTAAGCCATAAACTCTTAAGCCCTAAACCCTTAAACCCGAAACGCTCAATTCCAGCCTGACCAGGGCCCGGCCGGCTTGGCATACTCGGCTGGCATCCCCCGCTTCGCAGAGCTTTCCCCCAGAGCCCAAGAGGAGCTCTGGACTCTTTCTGAGTTTAGGGTTTATAGTCCCCTTTAAGTAGATAGAATATGGTTTTGGGTATGTTATTGTAAGATC